GATGCTTGGCTGCTCCTCCAGGCCCTCCTGGAGCTGCACCTGGGTGGGGATATGGACTAGAACCTCCATCTCAAACAGCTCTGGCTTAACCCTAGCAAAACCAAAAAAAAAAAAAAAAACGTGGTCTAGTGGAATTATCTCTGGCTAGTAGGGTGACCACTTGTTTTAGAGAATATTGCCCATCAGGCACCTGAAACACAATTCTTGTACCACGGCTCTCTTGTACCATATCTTTAGGACTTTTGCCTCAGACCAGCTTTGATGCCAGTCCCTGTTGTGGCTGTGAGCTGACATCTCTGCTGCAAACTATTTGTGAATGATCCAGTTCTGATGGTTCTTCTTGAGAGATGGCTGGGTGCTCTCCTTGTGCCAGACGGGGAGAAGTTATTTCTCTTTCTATCCAGAGAGAATTTTGATATGGTTTGGCATGATCTGCAATACTTCAGCACTGTACATTGTCTGTTCTCTCACAGTTCATAATGTTTGTTGTACTCCAAGCACTGTGTGTCCATGCCCTAAAAAAAAGCTAGGCGCTCAACTCCAAGGCCAAGTACAGACTGACAAGAAGCCCAAAGATGAATCAATTCAATCTTTGCAGGTTTCATAGTTGGTCTAAGCTGCATAGACTGAACCAATAAACAAGCGAACAGACATTCACTTTTGATTCTAGAAATACAGCCACATGCCTGCAGTAGCTCAGGCGAGAACCTGGGGGTGCTAGAGTATGCCTCCCTGCTTGACTAGAGCAGACAGCTTGGGCCAAGGCTAACCCACCCACCCTGGGGGGAGGGGAGTTTGCAGGGGAGATGCAAAGCATCCTGGGATGCTGGGGGACTGTAAGTTAACCTGAATCTAGAGGGGATCTGGGACATAAATTCAATAAGCCGATTTAACCTAAATTAGTTAAGTCTTATACTACATTCAGTTACCTTAAACCAGTTTGTCATTTTGAAAGCAGTTTGTTGTGTTACAGATTTGAACCAGTTTCCACTTATATTGGTTTATATGCAATTTCTGGCCCTAGCCCCACTGTTTACATCTCCCTGGCTAACCAGAAATGAGTAACCTTTCACTGCAATCAAATACGGCCCTGATTTTCCATGGATTACAGGTGATGACAATCTGACAACCTGTGTCATCTCAGCCCTCCTTTAAGCAAAGCTTCTACTATTCTACAGGAATTTTGCTTAAGTACCAAGGAAGCAAATGCCCAGTGAAGCCTTCCAGGAATGGCCCGTTTAGAAACAGGTTAGCTTTTAACTAATTGCTGAAAAGGAAGAAAAGACATACTTGACTAGAGTCATGTTATGGATGTCCTCTACAGACAGCTGCCAGTTTTTGATGGATCCCTTCACAAAACCCGACACCATGACGAAACAGAGGACAAGGATATTGATACAGGTGAATACTTTGTTAACTAGTGCCGATTCCCTCACACCAAAAGTTAAGAGACCTAGAAAAGCAACAAAAATACAAATCAGACATTTCTCCAACAGTAGCACATAGTCCAACCTCAATGCAGCAAGGACTAAAGTGCAGAAGTCACCATGACCAGCTATTTTCAACAGTTCCTCAGGAACAGGGGCCAGCATAATTCTGGGACAGGGCTCAAACACAGCAGACACGTTACACCTAACACTTAAACTAGTCAGAGGATGACACCGCCTAGGGTAGTGGTTCTCAGCCTTTGTGCACTTCAGGCACCCCTCACTGGACTTGAGGCACCCCCTCCATAACTTTCGTGAATTGAGTGGTTCCTATTTTCAAAGTTAGCATTATACTGCTTACCTCCTTGCAGATGGGCCAGAAAGTGGGGACAGGAGATTGTCCAGATAACCACTGGCGCAGTCTCATCCCCATCTCCTCACACCTGCTTATCCCCACTATCTGGCTCACAGCACCCTTCAAAGGATACCTCAGGGTGCCTTGGCACACTGGTTGAGAATCACTGGTCTATAAACCCTGCTCCCCAACTCAATGGGAATTTCAATCTGAGCCTGGTTTCAGACTAGGTTCTTCATCTTGAAGAACAGAAAATTAAAAAAGGTAGCCATAAATGCCATGAAACCGTATTTGGTTCCCTGAGTAAAGAAAGAAAAGAATAAAACCATAAAGAGTTGGCATTCCTAGCTGATTCGCTTTAGGAACAGGTTACCTCTTAAACCAAAATCTAACAAGAAGTTTGTGATAAAACCAATACAAAGCTGTGAGGAAAAAGGGAAGCACTGCAGTAAGGTCATAATTTAGTCCAGAGTGAATTTATCTCACTTGGAGGGCTTACTTTCATTAGCCAATATTACTTTTTTCTTTTGGTAAAAGAAGAAGATGGGGAGGAAATGCTGTGAAAAGCTGTAACAAACTGGATAGCATAGGAAAAAATGAATGATCTGAAAAACAAAAACAAAAAAACTCAGGCACCCAGAAGGTGCTGACACTTAATGAAAAGAGGTGTGAACTCAGATTTTATATCCAGAAATAAATTTTGTATCCAGAAACTTTGGTGGAAAAGTTTTGACTTTTCTCCAAATTTCCAAAACCTGAAGAGCCCCCCCTCCTTCATCCCCATGCAGGAGATGAAGGCTGGCAATTCAAATTTTACTCCAAAATAGTAGACTGGATGAGCCTCTCAAGATTGTGACGCTTTCCTAAGCATACAGGTTTGAGTGCTGATCCATGCTGTACTTTCATGGAACCTCAGGCACCTGATTCTAATTAGTGATTCTGGTTTAAATCTGGACCCACTCCTGCTACATCTAAGCTAACTCATAACATCACGTTCCCTGCACCTGCACAGTCACAGCTCAACCCTTCATCTCTTGTCTTTGTGGGATTTCTAAGGATTTCAACATGAATCTTGCAAACAGATGGCTTGGGTTCTTGGTCTGGACAGCTGATAAGAACAGGCTGAGACTTCAGGTATTCTGTGACTCTGATAAGACTAGAAGTAGTCTCTAATGATATTATGACACATACACCCGTTAGAAAGTGGAGAGCTATATGAAAACGATTTTTTTTCCAGACTCATTTAAGTCCGATAGAGTTTTGAAAGGTTTGATTTGAGGTACATGCAAGGAGTTCAGGTAGAAATAGTATAAATACAAAAGATATTCCCTGTAATTTAACTATAACATGTTTCACTTGCTATGGAAAGTAAGAGAAACCAATGTATTTTCCATGTACACAGACATTTTCTTTTCTTTTTTCCCCCCTTTTAAATTTTGTGATCACTGCTGCAGAACTGAAGTCAACATGTATTTTAATGTTTTAACACTCAAAAAAAAAAAAAGTCATGCAACACAGCGTTACTTCATTCTGGCCTTTTCTCCCACATTTTCCTGGACAGCATGCTGTATGAATTGGCAGATTCTCAGCATCAGAGCTACAGCAAGAGAACAAAGCTGCTCTGCAAGGTTTTTTTTTTCTTTAAGCCTTCTGTACTTGCTTGCAGGCAACAAATGTCCTTGTTTGATCTGTGTGGTGCAAGACTGGATTAAATGTTTTACTTGTGTTCATGTAAATATCTAAAATACTCCCCTGTAATAAACCCCCCCCCCTACAAACAGGATGCAAATGGTCCTTACTCCAGAGCAGCTAAATAGGTCAACCTGATACCTGGCATGAAGGACTTTTAGTAAGTTACCCAAAACACACACAAGCATTTGTACCCATTCCAAAAGCAAGCAATACAAATTACAGGAAAGGAACATATTTTTGCAAACTTTCCAAAGGTTTTACCTGTTAGGATGAGAATGATGAGAACAGCAAAGACATCAGGGTATTTTGCTAGCACCCCAGGAGCATCCATAGTCAGGTAGGCTTGGCAGAACTGCTCAATGTGCTTCCCTATGATTTCATCAAATGTTGCACTCCAGGCTCTGGCCACACTTGATGTCCCTTTCAGAACAGGGAGAAAACACAAATTATTTTTCATTACTAGAACACATCTTTAAATGAGTGGCACTGCTTGCTGCTCTGTGAACACCACTGGAATCTACTTCTGATGCATCTCTGCTTAACCCTGCAGGTCATTTAGAAGAGACTCGCAGCAAACCTTCCCCCAGAGATCTACCTAGATGTTGGATTTCTGTACAAACCCAAATCCCACTAGACTGCTCTTTCACCATGAAACCAAGCCCAGCAATGCCTTGCTTTCCCCTCACAACAGTTTCATTCCCTCAAGACCCTGCATTGCTTGCTGGTTTCAGGGCCCAAATCTCTCCCTCTCTGAAACAAGGCATTAGATGCAACTAAACTCTACAAGCTGAAGGCACAGCAGCAACTACTGACATATCCAAGCAGGTGATACCCAACCTAATGGTACATCTAGTTTAAAGCTAGCTTAGAGATGTTTACCAGACCTGACAGCATATAGGCAAAGCCACTGACTTTAATAAAGTTCCACTACTCTGAAACTTGTGTGACAACAATAATAGGCCCTATGATGGTAAACTGAGAGTGAGGTAGAAACTAAGTTGGGGGTGTGTAAAAGTAACTCAGGAGAGTATAAGACATACTGGACCTCCTTCCTTTAACTTAGTGCTGTCCCCACTGCTGTTCCTCATGTGGGAAGAAACAATTCCCACTGACATAATGGCCACAGACAGAAGCTACACAGAAACCAGTTAAGTGATCAGAAACTGGTTTAAACCTGTAACAGAACAGAACAGGAGCTCAGTGCACACAGACCAGTTTCAAGATGGCTGAAACTGGTTTAAGATAAACCTGTTGAATATAGTATCAGATTTCACTGATTTGGGTCAAACTGGTTAATGAAACTTTTGTCCTAGACCCTTCCTGGTTCAAGTTAAATCACAGTCCCCCCCGCATGCCTTGCAGCTCTGGGCTGGGCTATGCTGTCTGCTCCAGAGAGCAGGGCTGACCCCACCCCTCTGCTCCCTACCTGGAATGGTGAGGGCTTGCTGACAATCAGGTTAGGGTGGGGAGGGAGGGGGGCAAGCCCAGCTAGGGATGCAGCCCAGTCAGCAGGGGAGGGATGCCCCTCCTAGGCAAACCCCAGCTGGGGGCCTGGAAACAGAGTTAAACACCCCTTCTCCAACTCAAACTTACTGCTGTATGCAACTGTGGACTACAAATCCCAGACACCTGGAAGCAGGAAGGGGAAAGTGATGCACAACCCTGCAGAGTCCTGCTGCTGTAATTCTGGACTGCAAATCCCAGAGACCTCAGGGGCAGCAGGAAAAGGAAGTGGGCACACAGCCAGAGCTGTGCTCTAGCACCTCCCAGCTTCTGACCTGAGCCACTGCAGGCATGTGGCTGCATTTCCTGAATCAAAGGTCTGTTCCCTTCCGTTTCAATTTAATCTGAGCATCTTAGACTAACCTGCACAGACTGAATCAATTCAGCCTCAGGCTTTCTGACTGTCTGTACCTAGCCAATGAGCTAAAGAAACTGACATGCATATTCCAGGATTCAAATCCATGGGTGTCCACAGGCCAAACTGTACTTGGGCACGCTGCGGAAAATACAGATTGACTCCAAAGATTTCAGTGAAGTCAAGGAAAGACTCAGCAGGGAAACTTAATACTGAGCAAAATCACAGACCCTGTGCATTTCAAATCAATTCTTGAACAACTAAGCCTTCCCTTAGCTTAAAAAACTGCTAATGAAATGGAAACTGCTACAGAACAAAATAAACCCCTCAGTGGAGTTCATACCCATCTTGGAACATTTAAGTCTTATAAGCACAAGTAGAACAATACCTGCATTCCAAAATAAATGCTGAAATGAAGCTCCCAGGTTCTGACAACACACAAATAACTTTAGATTAAAATTCAAATACTAATCAACATCAGCATTCCCACTGCCAGTCCTGACTTTTTACTGTCTTTGTATGCATTCAAGCTGTGTACACCCAACTATCCAAACAGAACAGAGTCAAGAAAGTCTTATCTGTGGTTTATTTTTAGAACCTCAAGAGCTTGGTTTACACTACAAAATTTCCCTGTTGCTCACAACAGGTGCAGCTGATCCATTGTTAAATGGTATTCAACTAGCGGCAAAGACAAACATCCTCCCCACGTGCCACTGCAATACCTGAAAAGCTGCCCAGACATGTGAACAGAGTTGTCCACTCAATTGGGGCCTGATGCAAAGCCTGAAGTCAAGGGAGAGTTTTTCCACCGACTCCGCGTGAAATGTATGTCCCATGCTGGCCCTCCCTACCTTGTCCAGCACGCACAACCAATCCTGCCCTGCCCATCACATGTAGCACACACCAGTCCTGGATTGTTGCTGATGCAACCCTCAGGGCCAGCATGGAACACGTGCTGCCCACAGCATGCAGGCTGAAGCCAAGGCTTCAGTGCACATGGCACAGAGGGTCATATATATCCCTTAACCTTCTCTTTTCTAAACTGAAGACTCCTAGTCTTTTTAGTCTTCCCCTGGTTTGGCAACTGTTCCATGCCCCTGATCATTTTGGTTGCCTTTGATTTCATTCCAGTGATTTCAATGGAAGTTGGAACAGGTCCTTAGTTAGCAAAGGCTACAGATACTGATGTGATAATGCAATCCTTTGCCAATCAAGTGTCAGTTTAGTCTTCCTTGGCAGATGAAAACATGCCGATTCCTGGATGATAACTACACCAGGGCCTGGAGCCAAGTGTATGCAAATCTGATGACATGGCAGTTTGAAGGAAGTTATACCTGAAACCTGGATTGGATCCATATGGTTTGCTCATAACATTTACCTACCTCACGTGACAATATAAGCTTCATTCCTCCCCATGACCTGCCACCTTGATGGGGTGAAGAGGCTTCCATGTACCAATGACCCTAAGAGCAACACAGTCAGGAGTCTTGTGCTCCTGGTATGGTCACCACAG